ATGGCATATGAACAGCAGGGCATACGATTACATGGCCGCTTAGGTTTCACATAGTTTCATTAGCCAGTTTTGTGTTTGCTTCAGAAACAAATGCATACCGAACACGAAGGCGTGTGTTGTGTGTGTACTTGGATGGAAACGAACTGATAAAACGAGATGTGAATATAACACAGAAAAGCCCTAGAGGAACAACCGAGCGCACAATTGCCGATTGCGAAAAAATTGCATTTTTGGCCGACGTTGTTACCGAGTGCACGGGCGATAAACGTGAAATAGGTCGGTCGGCAGAACGTACACAGACAGAGCCGATAGAAGGGAAATATAATCGAATCGTTACCATGTTTGTCGTAAACAAGAGGGAACGATACGGAACCGATTCGATATTGCCTTGTCTGTACGAAAAAATACTGCTTATTCTTGCACCCAATACGTGTTAACCAATAATAACAATAATAAAAATGAACATGTCATGTCGATTAGGTAGACATGCCAAAGTAATCTCCTGCGTTAACAAAATGATTCCAAACAACGATTCTATCCAAACGACCTGGGAACCGAAGCAAGGCACAAAAATAACAAAATGATCTGTGAATGTGAAGAAAAAGAAAGTAAATGAATTCCATTCATGTTCGTTTCTTTGTACGTCAAAAGCCATGAGAGCATTGCACTAATCGCAATGCATATTTCGGAATATCTTCTCTGCACTCGACTTCAATATTCAAATTAATCTTCCTGTTTTGGTTTTCTTTGTGTGCTTTCATTTCGGTTAGAACAGAAGAAACATTCCGTTCGAAGGAGGCGCTGGATAAATTTCATGAAGTTTTCTGTGAATGTATCCGATGATTGGCACAAACAAAGGCCAAAACTTTGACTAAAATAACCCTGTGCATGCAAAGCCAAAATCACAGCACAAACACGAGCGCATTGAATGCTTTTTTGCGCCTGCATGGAACATAGTAGATGAAGAAAAAATCCCGCACACACATACACACATTCATGAACCGTTGAAGGCAAGAAGGCAGAAAAAGGGACTAAAAACACAGAAACCGAGATAAAAAAAAAAACACATCCAAGTATCGAAAAGACACCAAAAAATGCGAACCAAAAACCGGTAATACGTTTTTTTTTTCTCTTTTTTGTTTGCTCTTTTCGTTCTCTTTTCAAGTCTCTGCTGTTCAAGACTTCTTTCTGTGCTTTTGATATTTGTTTTCTTCGATTTTTGTTCGGTTCGATCGGTTTTTCTCTCTCTCGTTATTTTGCCATTCTCAATTTTTGTACATACACAGCAAAGAAGGAGAACGAAATTTCACACATATAATTGTAGTCGTACAATCGAAAATTATGTTCTCAATTTCATTTCTTTTTAGTTGCATTCAATTACTGCCATTTAGTCAATTTCGTCTTTGATTTAGACATCACTATACGAAATATTTTCAAAAATAAACTTAAAACACACACCATTTCAACTCTCTTTACAAACTGTTTTCGATGTTGGCTCAATACTCCTTAATTAATTTTGGTGTTTTTTTTTGTTTTTTTTTTTCTTCTACTATATCGCTGGATATAAACACGTTTTTAACATCATTGCACGATGAAAATCATCCAAGATCCACGCACAAAATCACTAAATCATGGATTCAACCGATCAACAGACAACGGAATGAATTCGGAAGAAAAAAATGAACTGAATGTTAAGCCAAGAATGCGAGTGTGTAAACGAAAGAAAGACCCGCGCTATGCGGATTGAGTCTATTCAATCACGATGCACAACACAAACTAAAATGGATGCCGGACAAACGAGGGAACCAAGCGAACTCAACAAGAAGAAAAAAGACGTAGGCAAAAAATCAAAAACTCACAAAAACAACATTTAGCCATCGAAACAAGTCTTTCGTTACTTCTTTTGCCCGTACAATTTTCTTCTTCCAGCAGCAGCAGCAGCAGCAGCAGCAGCAACAGCATCGATGCCTATTCGATTCTCTCTCTTCCTATACACTCATTGTTCCCTCTCTTGTTCTCTCTTTCACTCTTTCGCTCTCTCTCTCTCTCCCTCTCCCTCTCTCTCTCTCTGTCTGTGTATGTGCACGTAGCACATATACATGTAGGCTAACCGTACGTATTTATATGTTACACGTAAGTATGTTAGTCATGTACGTTTTTGCTTTTGACTTATCTATCTCCTTCGCATGAATATATACATGAATATTGTTTATTGGTAGGTAGGTTCGGTTTTTGCATTTTGCCGTTCGGTTTTTTCTGTTTTTCCCTCTTCTTCTTCTCCTCTTTGGTTGCTTTGACTTTCATTTTGCTAAAACGCAGAGAGAGAGAGAGAGAGAGGATGCCTCGAAGACCATAACTATCGCTTCGATCGTTCGTTCGTTCGTTGGGTTAGCGCATATCTGCACGACTTAAGACATTAAGGACTATGCGAATGTGTGTTGTTTATTCATTGCAAAATATTTTATCGTTCGCATTATGCAGTGATTCAAGCACACTAATTGCAAGCAGAGGAATTCTTTAAACAGTTTCTACTTGCCTCTATGCCTGCCTATCTCTTTTCTATTTCGAATTGCAACCATTCAGTTCTCAAGTCGAACACTTCGTACATCGGTAAATATTTATTCAGAAATTTCGTAACACTTTATTACATTATACCTGCAATTGACTGCTTGCTTCAACGAATGATTATTTCTACGTTTCACATATTCAAAGTGAGATAATATTCCGTTTGTTCATTCGATCGATCGTTCGTTTGTATTTAAATAGAAACGAATTTTCTCCGAAAAATGTCGACAAGCCACTTGATGATCGAATTTATTATTCCAATCGCATCGATATTTGTATATATACGAAGTAATATATACATGTGACCGCGCCGGGCTGGGCAGCACAAATAATTGTTTGCTCAAGCAAAAAAAAAGAAAGAAAGAGAAAAAAGAAAGAGACTAGTCAAACTGGTATTCGAACATGAAAAAAAATTCGGTACTGGAGACACATTTGAAGTCGAATTGGCAAAACATAATCCAATTAAATAACTTGCTGAATGGGTAGAAAAAATTCGCGCTTATTTAACGGGCTTAAATGCTCAGGCCCAATTCCAAATGTGTATATAGCTCACAGACACCGAATTCTACTCACAAATCGTGTCTATTTCGGTGTAAAATAATAACCAGCATATATTCAAATGACGATAGACTTTGACAGACAAGTATTAAAACTAGCGGAAATATTTGCGGTTGACTGAATATGTTAGGTCAAAAGTATATTCGTGCAGAATTGAATTATATTTGGTTCGAATCGCTATAACTGAATGTTGCAACGAAATCAGCTGGTAGCGCGAACAGATGTAGAGAAAATAATTGGGGCCAAATCGACCGCGGGCCACAACGGAGAAAAAAAATGCATCAAATTTAAACCAGCCAATTCGACAGTGGCTGATTTATCACGAGTGATTTTTTTTCGAACGCATCTCCTCTGATTATTATAATGATTCATCAGCCTGGAATTTCATGCAGTAAGTTACAGTTGCAGTTTCTTTTTGTTTGTTTATTCGACGGAACAACGTTGTGTTGCAGATATTTTATCGCCAAACGAGAATCCAATATTTACCGTGTAAATTTTACACGCAACCCACATCGTGAAAATATCAACAATGTGCCAGCATGAAGAATGGGCTTAACATTGAGATGGAATTCCTTGGTTTGGATATATTTGAAAGGAGTTAAAGGTAAACTACCGATGCTGATGGTTTTGTTGCTGCTGCGGCTGCTGCAACTGAAGATTATAAATCCCAACGATTAACTGCGCTTTCGTTTAATTCAAAAAGTGATCGTCTTCTTCGACCGTTCAACATAGTTTTTGAGTGGGTTCCCAACAAACTAAATAGTGAAAGAACAAAACTAAAGATTGTGTTTGTGCCTTCCATGAAACCTCTTTGATGCAGAAAATGCCATTGTATTGCGTTCTGTTTGTTGTTTGTACGTGTCTAGGTGTTCTTTTGAAAGCAACATGATTCACATTATCGCTTTAGCCAGTCTGAAACTGTCATTGCAATGGAATGTACGTGCATACCTCTGCATCATGGCTCAAAATAACTATAATGCATATATATAAAAATGAAACACAATACAAATATGTTATTGTTATTTCAACCTTCAGTCCAGTTCAGCCCGCACCGTCACACACAGTCGCAACACTTTGCACGGACTTTTATTTCATTCCATTTCTTTCACATATTCCGATTTTTCGTCATTGTCTTGGTGAAGTATGTGTGTATAAAAAACAGGCTGAATGAGAAAAAAGGAGCCAAACAATTTCATTCTCTTTCTTTTATCGTTCAATTGTGTGAAATAGATGCAACAGTTGGACGCCTTTATGCTTCGTATGTACACGGTGAGAGTTTAAATCACTTTATCATTTTTTCCTCGTCTTTCTTCTCTTTAAAACAGACGAAGCGCAAGCATTTAATGCTGCACACATCGTTTGTTGCCACCTCTTCTGTTTTAAGTTTCCATGCAAACAAATCAAAAGGTTGATTTGAAAATTCATTAAAATCGAATAAATTCATTACAGAAAGAAAAATCTATTTACGTGGAACGGATGAACAAGGGAAAATAAGAAAAACATGACGATGCTATACAGTGTAATAAATAAACTAGTAAATTGCACTGAAAACTCGTTTTTTTTACATATATCGTTCTATACGCACATACACCGACCGATCGGTGGCCGGGCACAATATCTTTGTGTGATTTCATGCCGAGTGAAATTTGCTTTCGTTTCGTCACAACTCTCGCAACTGATTAGAATGTTTGCGGCTAAAAATCAAAGTACAAATTGATATACATATTTTCTTCTTCTCGTTTGGTCAGCGTGGATGACACAATTTTCATTTTTGTTGTTGAAGAAGCATTTGAATTCTTGGAATTTAATTTAAAAATTGGGTCGAAATCGCACATAATTTCCTCCGTTCAATATATACGTTTATTCTTAGATCTTACCTTGCCACGACGATGCCGATCGGATTTCTTCTTAAACGGCATCGCGGTGTTGTAAATGGGCGAACTCAAATAATGTGAATTGCTTGATAATTGGTTCGCAGTCGTTTGGTATGCAGCGCAAAAATTATTGATATTATTTGGTAAGCATTTGGTATTTCTAGTGCTGCCGTTGTTTGCCGAACTAAAAGCCGTGTTATTGTACGCCGTTGTCACGTTCGATGGCAATAAATTATGCTGCGATTGTCGATGCAACTCACTGCTGGTGGTGTTGTATTTAATATTCGAATCATTGAGTGGCATGGTATGAAGCATCGGCGGCACACCTTGCATAAATTCTTTTGGATACATTGCACAACCGTACGTACTATTCAGGCAATTGTCATCGTACATCACATTTCCATTCGAATCAATCGGAGCATTTGCATTAAGTTTGCTCTGAATGTTATTTGAGGCGCGTAAATCATTGGCGATGGTTTCAGTTTGGTAGCCGTTTTGATGTGGTTTTGATTGCATATACCAAGCTGGCGGTTGGTGTAAAATGATGTCGCCATAATCATTATCACACAAATACGTTTGCTTTGCGTGGTACGATCGAAATGTTCCGATCGGCGATAAGTAGTTGTTGAGCTTTGCATCAGCGTCAGTGGAGACGGTGTGCGATTGTTCGTCAGACGGATGTGGTCGAACAGACAGTGGTGTAGTCGCTACGGAGGCGGCTTGCCGAGCAGTTCGTTGCAACGATGGAAAATGTTCGGTTGGATAAAATTTCGATTTCGATGGGGCATAATAAGTGATGCTGCGTTTACGCGTCGTCTTTCGGCTCGATGACGGTCGTCGACTTTTGCGTGTTGACGAAGACGCCGATGAGCAACGCTTACCAAATGTTGTGATAATGCGCTTCTTTTTCGTTGGTTTCTTGAAAATGTTCAAACTAAACGTCGGTAGTTTCATTGTTGATGCGACGAATGCACGGACACCACGAACACAATTCAAATACAACGGCGCAAATACAAGGAATGTGTCCCCTCGAATTTTGTCTACTATTCTTCTTCGTTTTTTTTTTTGGTTAACCGAAAAAGGGGGCGTTTTATCACTCACATAACACTAGAATACGCATAAAATGCATTATTATACAAGTGATTCATCTATACATCATCGACCCGAAACCAACGCAAATCATTTATTCGTTCGTGTTTTATCATAATTCTGCGAAGTCATCAAAATATAGAAATGGCTACGATGAAAATATGTTTCGAACACGTTTTGTCGATTTAGATCTAGACGCTATTCACTCAAATCAACCGAATTTTTTCGTCTCTTTAAATGCCGAAAATTGTAATTTAATATATTTGTTCGTAGTCAATGGAAAATTTAACATTTGATTCAATGCATTGAATTCTCGTTCATTTCGTATCGTTGTTTTGCTTAATTCAATTGAATGCACATTCAATCCATTTTTAATTTATTTTTTGAATTATTTATTCATGAAATTCCAACTGTGAAATCTCATTCCAATCTGATGTTGCTGTTTTTTTAATCGTCTAATTCAATATTTATATGTTCACATTTGGCGGAAATGACCTTTCCATAAACTTTGCACTAACAACTCAACCGAATGACACTCAGCGACCTTTTTTTTCTCTAACGGATTAACTTTTTTTCTGTGAAATTACGTCTGTCACACACTGTTCGAGGGATGAAAATGAAACTGAGAGAAGTGACGAGATATAAAAGTTGATACTATGAAAGTGTGGTGTTTCAACCCTTAGACAAAAACGCAATATGCTTCGTTATTTCGGGCCCACTTCTGGCGTACTGAATAAATTTCTACGATAAATTTTGGTGGAAGCAGCATTGCTTCGAAATATATGTATCGAAACGGCAACAATAACATATACGCAAGACACAATTGATGACCGAGTCGAAGCACCGCAAGTGCGTGTTTACTATCCAACTTGTATTTGAACTGTTTTGTATATTTTTTTTTTCTGTTGTTCGTTCCTATTCCATGTGTAATTCATTCGTACTCTTCTCTCACTTTCATTTTAGTTTGTGTACACACGAATCGAGTATATCGTAGCCTGAGTAACTTGGAAATTCATTTGTCGGTTTTCGATTTTACGTTATTTTTCTGCTAATTCATTACATTTTTCTGTTTTTACCGCCGATAGTAATCCGATAGAAAATCTACAAACGAATGCACTTTTTTTTTTGCTAACGTTAAACCGAGTCGGTTTCGGCATGTGAAGAAGCACATTCGCCATCGACACACTGAACTATGAATCTGTAGAAATTCACAATTGTTATTATTAAAGTGCTGGTGCGGCGCGAATCGTTTCATGCAAACAGAATGCCAGCTGTGGCATGGCCAGTGTGCTAATAAAGGGCTGAGTGCATTCGGTAGTAGACCAATTGGTTTTTCGACACGTTAGCGTAATATTTTCGAATTGAATGGGGCAAAATATGCAAGATTTTTAATTGAGAAATTGATCACGCATACGGAAAATGATGATGAAATAAAGCCCCCCGTCATTTTTTTTTATGAACGACACAATTTATACAATTTTCATCGCATTTTTATTGTTGCCAATGAAAACGCACTGGATATATACGTGTATATTATTCAATAAACGAAAAATGCGTACACAAAACTCCCGTACCGTTCAACTCACTGCAACCGACTACACACGATTAAAATTAATTTAAATTTTCTACCAGCCATAGATGCGTTGGCCATACAACACAATTTTGATTTGATGAATATAGCACATTTTTCGCGCGTGCACATATGTTTTTTTTCAATTTTATCACGAAACCTTTTCAGCTTCAATTAGATTAGTTCATATGTATATGATTTCAGCGTGTCAATTGTATTCATTGTGAATCAACGAATCTAAATGAAACGATTCGCGTTTCAAATGCACCAAAAATTATTAAATGGTAACGGTTGAGAAACGCATATCTGTCGTGATAAGTAAGCTTGTGAATGTGTGGCGTGCATGTGTTCGGGGAAGAGCAAGAGAGACACTGGAAGAATGAAAGCACAAAATAATTGTATAGACATGGATATTGCCCATCCATACACTATACTGGCATCGGAAAATTTTGCGCAATTAAGTATGCTCAAGTAAGTATGGTCATTACGGTTGATATCTGGTTCCTGCCTATCATGACACGATCACGACCAAATTTGTATCCGTTGAGCCACTGTATTCAAATCATATACTCTGTGATAGAAATTCGGTTTGAATTCCCAACACATTGCCATAATGTTGCTTATTAGTCTGAATAATTTCGAGATTAGTTGAGTGATAAATCGTATCAAAATATACGCCCATTCTAAAATTGAATACACTGAAAGCTGCTTGAACTGAAAAATGGACGAAAAAAGCGGTACTTACGAAAAATATGTCCTCAGCCACTGGATCACCGAGCACTTCCAACGATTCAATGTTCATGGATCGGTATTTATGAGCGCGATCTTTCTTCCGTAGTCCCCAGCTACCGACATCGCTCAATCGATGACGCAGTTTGCTGCGCTTTTTCACGGGCAATGTGGTTGAATCTCCTGGCAGCAACGTAGCCAATGTGGTAGCCGACGATGATTTACTATCTTTTGGTGTTTTGCTGTCATCACTCACTTTCTGGCTCGAAGATCCATTGGTTTTTGTGTTTTCATTAGTCTGAGAATGGGTCGGCGATGGTGGCGGAACATTTTGGTAGCATAACAATGAGCTTCCATAAATCTTGTGTGTTGATCCAGAATTGACATTATCGCTGCTTGTCGAGCTGGATTTCGTTTTGGTTTCACTCACATTTCCCGTTGACGTCGAGTGTAAATTATTTGGTTCAGCTAAATTATTATTTGTGTTGCTGCTAGCAATGATCGATGAATTCGATTTTGTCACATTATTTTTGTGAATGTACTGTGGCGGCGAATAGTTTAAAATATTGTTAAGACTGTTGTTCAATGCCGATGTGAGCGGTGATGCAACAGCTGTTTGATTTGATTGTGTACGCGATGCCGCTGAACTTAACGTAGACGATTTCCGCATCGGTGTTACTGGAGCATTTCGACCATTCGTTTCGACTGGTAGCTGCGGTACGCCTCCACTGAAAAAAAAAAAACGAAAGAGAAAACCAATTAAGCAAAAAAGCTTTGAGGTTTCTTTCAAAGTTAAACGTTGAAGTGTTTTAAACGACGATCGCGTCGATATGATTAATCATAGTACAAAACGAATTTTTGTCTATGACAGTTCATTTCCATTAATCACAACAGATTTTTTTTCTAGTTGAAAATGGATATTAACTTTTTCACTTATACCAAAAATCAGAGCCGAAATAAGTCAATTACTTTGATTTTTTGTAGTTTGACAACGAGACACTACCGTATCGAGTATGACATATTGTAACACGAACTGAGCCTATAAGCTTGATTGATTACCTCGCTTTGAGACGTGAACGTCGACGTTTATTGGATATTGATTTTCGTTGTCGCACTTTGATCTCATCTTCACTTGAATCGTCATCGTCCGATTCAAAAACTCGGTGTTCGTTTTGTAATTTGCCATAGCAATTAAATGAAGATGGTCGAAATCTTGGATTCGTTCGTATTTGATTGCATTTGGTACAAGCACTGATGGATTGTGGCCGGTTTTCCGAAGGGCGAACAGGCACACCGTCCATTCGAAATGGCAGTTCCATGGGCGATTTAAAACGTAAATTTCGATAAATCAAATCCGTTAAGTCATCTTCACTACTCTCTTCACTGCTAAATAGATCACTATTTGCCATTGGGTATCGTTCGAGCATACGATCATTTATTGCTCTTTGAGCTCGACGTTGCACTTTTGAATAATCCATTTTTAAGCCAAATTCGTCCTACTAACCGCTTCAATTTTTGAGAGCTGACCTATTTTGCCGTTGCAAACTAAAGAAGATGAAAAATTCACAAGCGCACCGAGAGCTTGTTGTGAATGCTGCCTGAAGTATGCCGAACAACTGTAGACCTAACGACATTACACTTCAAGCTATGGTTTCATTTGACACTTTTGATAGCATTCAATTTAACTTCATTACCACTAATTTTTGTCTCTCACGCGCACACACACGCATGTACGCTCTTTGCGCACTCTGTTCTATTTATGAAAGAAGGTTCACGTACTGAATCGCATTCAACTTGAATGAAGTGAAAAGTGTCAAAGGTCAAGTGAGAGAAACACAAGCTTGCATGAACAAATCGCAGCTGTGAGATATTTTGAGAAAAATTATGACGACACAACCCGTCGGAAAAACTAATCAACTGATCACCGCAAAAGATTGATTGTTTTCAAAATATTTTTCTTCTATTTTTTCACACCGTACTTCCTTGTCTCTCGCTGCTCATTAGTAGCGCGACAAAGTAAACCAAATTGAACATGATTTTTTTTACTCGTCCTAAATTAACCAGAAACTAGTTTTAAATCCACTTATCGGTGTAAACTAGACTTGAAGATTACAAATTTTGAAGAATGAAACGGAACGTCCGTTTTATTACAGCGTTTCTATTCAGAAAGGCCAAAGCACCGCACAAAACACTAGAATAAAATGTACATTTTTATTTTATCGTTTATGACATTCTCGTGTGCTGTTATAATCGGAGAAGCTTAGACGGAGATTTTTAAATGTCGCGCACGTCAACCGCGTTCGGGTTTGCATGGCTCGAAGGGGCACACTCTCACAGAGACTTGCTCGATTATTGTCACTTGACTCAAATTGAAACGTCTCCTGCAAAATGATCAAATGCTACTGAAGCCGATTTTTGGATCAGGTCGAAACAAGGAACACACATATTTTTAGAAACGAATTTTCTCGGCAAAATGTTATGCGAAATGCAAAAAAAAAATTTCGTTCATATTTTTTGTTGGTACGTGGGCTTATGACAACACTCTTCCACACGATACAAACATCACATCACCCCAATTCAATATATATTTCAAACGAAATATTTACTGTATTTTCTTGTGTCGTTTTTTCTTCCTTCTGTCGTACATTCGTGTCGTATGCGATTTTCCAATTCACATTTTCCGACGTAAATGTCATCACGACCGTCACAAACACTCGCCACATGAATCGAAATAAACAACACAATTGTATTCGGTCGAATTGCGCCTGCGTCAATCATTTATTTCGGTTTTCATTTCGATGCGTGCAACAAACAAAAGCAGCTGAACGCATGACACATTGGGCATTCACATGAAAGAACTGAACGTTGAACGCAATTTATAAATCATATGGAATTTATTAAACGGTGATTTGTTTGTTTTCACGAGAAGGAGCGAAAAACGAAGAAGATTTAACAGCCTACTTTCGCTTTTCACACATTGCACTCATGTGAATTTTTACCAAACATATGTAAATTGAAAATTCCCATCTGCAAATAGTTTCGTTTAATGGGAATTCTTCATTTTCGTAAATTGGCAATCGTTCAATGAACGCAAACGTTGACGTCGAATTAGTTTGTGGTTTTTTCTCACTTTATTTCTATTTGCTTTAGAGCGGTGAAAAAGTGTTGTGTGTGTCTTCTGATTTTTAGCTATGTTTTGAATACATTTTACATTGTTGCCAATCTATCAAAATTTAAAAGCACCGATGAAATATATCTAAGGCGATGTGATTTGCAAGGTGTCAACATCTGTTTCATAATCCATCTGCTTAGTGCGTTCGAATACGAACGTGAAAAAAAAACGGTGAATGTCTAATGTCGTGCGTCTGATATTCGCGTGGCTAATTTTGGTATACGTTTTATGTGGTTAGTTAAGTATCGTAATAATTATGGGATAAGCGGCTTCTTCAGTATGATAAACACCATAATATACTTTCGAATAGTCTCAAAGCAAGATCGAATAAACACATTGCCAACATAGTAGTTGTCGGAATGATTTGATTTGGATTGCATTGGATCCATAAAAAATGCCTCGAGTTGAAAATGAGCACTCATTGAATGAAATTAGTCTAATTGCATCATTTTTATTGATCTGGGTTAAATTGACTCAGAGAATCGATCAAAAACCCGTATGACAATCTAATGAGGAAAGCATTTGAACGAAACCAGTTGCATTTTAGATCACAATCTAATGCAGACTCCCCTTATACGGGTATTATATCTATTTTTCTCTTCTCTTTCAACAATGGCTCATTTGGATATGTATATCGAGCTGAAATCTTCTGTCAATATTAAGATTTGGTTCATAAAAATTTAAACCTGATTTTTTCGTTGTCGAACACAACTGAAATGTGGTTATCAAAGTAAGAATTCAATTTGAAATTGTGCTTAGTTTATAATATGTTGAAGAAAAAAAGCCATTGTTTCCATGGACCGTGTGATTTTACAGTGCAATTTTCCCATCATCACCGCCGTTTATATCGTTCCGAGAAATGTGTAGCAACAAAAATGCTGACAAATCGAAATGGATCTTCTCATCGAAGTCAAGTTAATGACACTTCATCGCATTGAAGTGGTCTTAGCAAATTAGAAGTGGACGTTTGCTACTATTTATGTGTCTGTCGAACGAGAACACGTAACGTTTTTCAAGCACACACACACACACACTTTGATCATGATGTTATTTGAAGTAGAAATAATTAAAGAGCTGTAGCGCTGTATGAAAAGAACGACTAGCGTTGAGTATCGTTAATGGAACTAA